AAGAAGGTCGTTGAACAGTCACATGCACAAAATAAATAAAGAGTACGCAAGTGAAGAGGTCAGACGCTTTTAAATGAAATAGATTCTCAAAAGTAGACTACTTAGCCTGCCGAAATAACGGATCTTGCCCCAGAACGGGTGTTTTAGGATTGCAAGAGTAAAGAATATTAAATTAATATTATAGAGGAGAAACATCATAAGGCGCCTAGTATGCACTCCCGGGAGAGAACATCTTAATGTTCTGGCCCATACACCGGATAAATCACTATCCAGCGGCCTGATAATTTTTTTATGTATTTTAGGGAAACCAATTGCGTTATCCCTGCACCTGCAGTGTTATCCCTGCACTGGATAGTCATTTATCCAGCGGATAGCTATATCCACCTTTTAAGCAACTCAGCCCTGGAAAGACAAGAGCAAAGTTCTCTAATGTCGGGACACCCATTCGACAAGTATGGGGAAACGTTCCACAGTTTGAATGCAACGAGAACACTTTATGGTGACGCAATGTTGGAACAGGTCACAGAGTGAGTCCTAAGTAATGAGGTAAAGGAATCAGCTAATCAAATCCAAAAATGAATGAAACTACGTTGGCATTCCGAGAACTAAAGCGCCCCCACCCGCCCTCTGCATCCCACGTCTCCGCCGACACTGTGTAAATCGTCTAACAAAATTAGTTAGTCGAAAGTGGATTAGGTTTTTCTTTTCTTTATTGGTAAATGTTCATGATTTTTCATTTTTTTTCACTATTTTTCATTAAAACAAAAGATGAAAAATTGTCGGCTTTTGTTTGTTTTTAGTTTTTTTCTATTTATTGAAATAATGGAAAATTATTCGCTACACTTGTCATTTTTTCATTTTTCTTGTCAAAATGGAATTATGAAAAATTAGGCGATAGGTGTGCCATTTTTCTATTTTTTCATTTTTTGAACACAATGAAAAAAAAAGGAAAAAAAATCGTGCGAATAAATATCATTTTTTCATTTTTCCGTTTTTCTATTTTTTGGGAAAATGGGAAAATAGAAAAATGATCTAGGAATCGGAGATAATTTCATTTTTCTCATTTTCTAACAATAGCAAGAAAATAAAAAATAACAAAATATCGCTTTTAGCCGTTTACAGTATTTTTTGTATTTCTGACGCGGGCTTCAAAATTAGAAAAATGAAAAAATGATCAATTTTCGTGACCATTTTCTTTTTTTCTATTTTTGACTGTGCTTTAAGATATGTAAATATAATAGGGGTTAAGTGAGATTTACTTTTTCCGTTTTTGTTGGAAAAATGAAAAATTAGATTGGCCGAAGTGTGCACGGACCCATTTAGCTAGAGTTAGAGGAGCTGTTATTGCCAACTATCAAAAACACATCAAACTGAAACTAATCATATACCCAGTACTATAACAAGCAGTCACACGGAAGCGTTGTTTTCAAAAGGCTTAATCATTAAAGGTTGTTTACACTTCTTCCGTCCTACTTCTCTTTGCTAAAATTAATCTCTAGGTTTTTACGCCACTGCGCATTTCTGCCTTGATTTGACTCTGAAAGGAAGTTAGCCGAGCAAAGACTGGCGTGCAATGGAAAATTCATATTGCCCAACGGAAGTGTAATCTTTGTTGTGACTGGTTACATCCAGCTTGCGGTCAACATAGTGATACCCTGGCATCTTTACAAGCTTCTTTGCCCTAACAAAAGAAAAGCAAAACCTAATAACACAAACTGTCAGCTTAAATCTTTATCAAGTACCTTTAATTTTGATCACAATGCTCTTGTTGTGTGCATTATTCACCCTTTGCCCCAACCACAGGTAAAAATCCACGAAGAGGATTGGTCCCGAGAATTGCCGCTGATGGCTTTAAAATCGGTACACAGTACTTAGGACAAAAAGTGCCCTCAAGGGGACAGTAAAACAAATCAACACTGAAGTTTAGTCCGAAATGTTAACTAGTTCTTGAAAAACGAATTGGAGCAACTGAATGATACACAATTTGATAACATGAGGTTTACAAATGTATGTAAATCAAACGTTAGGGCAAAAAAGGAGCCTAAATTCAATTTTCATTTGAACCAATTCTTCACGACGGATGAAACATTGTGAAATCTCTGCTCTTTTCCTGTTCATAATTATTTTAAAACCTGAGCTGAACTTATCCCTTTTGTTTATTAAACTCCAAATCGTGCCCTTCAGATTAGTTGGATCATTTGGGGCCCTAAATGACAATTTTCATATCTTACTTGTAAGTAGATTTGAAGTCACACAAATAATGACCACCTCCTTCCAACTTCAGAGCCATAAAGTTGTTTCCTATCAGCATTCCATCTCGTGCATGGAGACGCTCAGTGTTGGGTTCCCAGCCTTGTGTCTTCTTCGGCAAAACAGGTCCATTGGCAGGAAAGTTCAAACCAGTGAATTTGACATGGTAGATGAAACAGTTGCCTTGGATGCTTTTTAAAACGAGACGAAAAAATGTTTTAACAAAGTGCAATGGAATAATCATGGATATTTTCATAATGATACTCTACAGCGCATACGCAATGTCAGACGATTCGCCGTTTCTAACGAAGAGAA